TTGGAAAATGAAGAAAAACATACTACCCAAGAATAAAGGAAATAATCTGTGCAAAATAGCACAATTCCTTGTGGAATAATTTGCTGTGATGATACTATATTATTAATAAAAATTTTATTATTAATCACAATTATTTTTAGTGATTCAAGGTTATCCAAACGGTATATTGGCACTATATATCCCATCCTCATGCTTTCCCACATTCAAAGCTAATGCTGATGAACCTCACTAGAAGTAAGGGAGGACTGAGACACTAAGTTTATGTGACCTGTTTGGTCTTTGTGAGTCATGCAGTATTCGTTGAGCACCTAGTGAGTTGGTGATGAATTACTACTGAAGGCATCTCGATAGATTTATGACAAGTGACTAAGGAAGGGTTAACAGGTGTGGCTAGGTGTCAATTTGTGTGTTCACTGTTAGCAGTCAGGGGTAACATCTTTTGATTTTCACCGTTGGCTCTTCCAACATAATTATCTCATACTTAAGGGTTTGAAATTTTGTACCTCTGCTGTACACATTTACCCATGTCACAAAATAAATGTTCTTATTTCATCACATAAAGAATAATCATCTACTCTTTTGCACAGATCTCTAATAAAAAGTAAAGAAAGTAGAAATATTTTCTTTTCCTAGTTTATGATAGTATTTTACCTCCTAAATTTTACAGGAGAGTTGTTTTAGGTAGCACAATTGCTAAGGCTTCTTCAATCTTGTCATATAAATATGGAAAATGGTGGAAAGTTTTTAGATTTCTAAGGTAGCTTTTTATATTATTCTGAAATTAGAAGACCAGAACACAATTGTAATAAAAATATTGGCCAGAGTTTGAGATTACTAATAAGATTACTGGAGAGTTGTGTATTCAAATTTAAGCATAAGAACCATAGCTCTACAAATGCCTTTAAGGTGATATTACTAACCGGTCCCTTCTATGGATTGCTTAGTTTTGCTAGTTTATTTTCTAGGAAGTGGGGTAGGCTTAATTGATTCTTCCATTGCCATGATGTTTAGAAATAGTTTTTTGTTGTTGTTGTTTGTTTTTTTGAGAGAAATCAATTCGTCTTCCCTAGAAAATGTTGGCTTTCCTTCTTCTATCTTTAGTACCAGAGAAGACATTTTTATTGTACACTTTACTGTTTTTCTCTTCAGCTAATGCCATTAGTTACTTTACAGGCTGTAGTTCCCAATTATCTAATCAAAAACAATAAGGAGACTCTAGAAATCTAACTCAGGAGAATTTCAGAACTGCCACATAATACTAGCCAGCCAGCTCTAAAAATAGTTTAAAAGCCTTCAGACTGGAGTCACCCTGGTGGAAAATGGTTTGATTACCTTAGATTACCTTGTTGTCTAAGTTTTAGACAACACCTAGAATTTTGAAGTGGTGTAAAGAGAGAGGCCCTATTATTGCAAGATTTTGTGTATGCCAAAGCCTTCACACTTGAGAGTAACTTCAAGAATTATATTTAATCTAAAATATCAATGAGATCAAATACATTTGATCTAAATTATAACCAAAAAGCATATTTTAATACAGTCCCATACACAAAGAGGCTCATCTTTGTCTACTTGTAAATCCTGCAATTGATTGCAGTTAACGTGCAACCATGTGATGTGGTTTCAGGTCTTGGGAAACCACTTCTTAAAGATGGATCACTAATTTGGATTTTGTTATTGAATCAAATCAATTTTGAATGAATTAATTGTATGTGTTGGAATACTTTCGAATTTTATTTTAGTGTTAGTGGAATTCTAGCGTACATCTTGAAAAGAAATAGAAGTAACATCACCTTTAACGATATAAATGAAACTCTTCCCATTGTGTACCTCTGTATCAACATTCACAATGAAGACTCTATCCAGACATGATTCATTTCTGAGAAATGTGGCACTATCTAGAGAGCATTGCAATTGTTTAGCTAAAGTAAATACTTTATTTGACTTCTTTGGAAATTAATTAAGTGTGCATACTACCACTGATGATCTAGTCTGACTTTTTAGTTGAAAAATAGTCTGGTTAGGGCTAGGATATAGCTTAGTGGCAGAGTGTTTGCCAAGCTTGTGGGAGGCCTGGGTTGGATCTGCAGCACTAGGAAAACAAAACGAACAAAAAAAACAGTTAAAATGATGACTGAGGCATATATAAGGGATAGGAAAATTGTTTAGATGTTTCTTAGTCAATTATGAGACATGTGAGATAATGTGCCCAGTAAAAATGACATTTATTGCATTATGGATCTACGTAAGTAAGGTTATCCCAGTGATTTTTTTATTATATGGCATACTTGTGACTTTTCCCTTTTTGAGTGCTGGATATTTTCATATTCCTAGAAACAAGCTTGAGCTTTGTTCTGGGACATAGCTCAGTTACTTGGAAATAGTATCATCTTTTGGGGTCTTGCTTTTAAGATTACTCAGGTGAGACTAGAGTAGTGTTTAGGGATTATTACTAACACAAGACCCTCTTGAGTACTTGACAAGTCCCAGAAATCCTGAGGTTTTCCATCTTGGCTGGTGGAAGCAGGTACTATTTCCAATCTCATATGGTTTCCAGAATTGTTCTCTATCACACTCTTGGGTGGTTCTTTCCTTGGCTTTGAAAAATTTCTATACATGCATTTGTTGAACAGTTAGTTCTCTGCTGGGAGCCCTCTGTAGATCTCTGGAGTTTTCTCTTTGAAGGCTGTCTTCTCTCTGGTGTTTTGCCCCAACACACCAGCCACCTTGTCTCTTTAGACTCCTGGCTAGAATCTTCAACTCGGTGATTCTTCTCTGTGCCTGTACCTCTCAGAATATCTCAGGCTTTGAGCTGGGGCTACTCATTTATTTCTCATGTCTCAGGTGTTACTGGTTTTGTTGATGATGCACAGTTTCTCAAAAACCATCGATTTATATATGTTGTATAGCTTTTCAGTTATTTCAGTAAAGAGAGTAAGTCTACACCCTGTTGATCCATTCTGGTCAGAAGCAGACAAAAGTTAGATCAAATCTTAAAGGAATATTGACTTTGTAGTTTAGTAGTCTAAAACTTAGGGTGAGTTTCTGAAGATATTATCTCCAAAAGAGATCATTTTTTAGGGAAGGAGCTCCTGACTTAATCAAGGCAGAACCAGCTGATTTCTTAATCTCTCTAGCTATAAAATCTGTTGTGATAATATATTTTTTAAAATAATGCAAAGTTACCATGTATTAAAATAATTACTTTTAAAAAACCTGTTACTTCTCTCTCCCTCCAACAGATAATGAAGATAAAATACAGTTGTTATGAGGCATTGTAAGTTGTCTCTACACTCTTTTGGAAAACTAAAACTGTATATTCACAAGCATAAAAATTGTCATCTCCAGCCAGGTGTGGTAGTGCACAACTGTAATCCCAGTGACTGGGGAGAAGGATCACAAGTTCAGAGCCAGCCTTTGCAACAGTAAGGCACTAAAGCAACTCAGTGAGACCCTGTCTCTAAATAAAACACAAAATAAGACTGAGAAATCAATGTAGTTCAGTGGTTGAGAGCCCCTGAATTCAATCCTTGGTACTCCCCTCCCCCAAATTGTCATATCCTCTGAACCATTAACCTCAATTGTGGAATTATAGCCAGTGTAAATAATCTAAGGTACATAAAAAGCTTTATCTCCAGCTTTGTAAATTATGGTGCTAATCATAATGGGGAAAAATGGAAATAATCTTAATGTCAGAGTAGGTGCTCACTAAGATATGAATACACAGAACATATAAAGAACACTTCCAACTCAACAGCAGAAATCAACTTAATTTAAAAATGGGCAAAGGACTCAAATAGCCATTTCTCCAAAGAAGATACACAAATGGTTAAAAAGCATCACTAGTGCTCAGCATCATTAGTATTTAGGGGAATGCAAATCAGAAACACAAAATAATACTTCACACTCATTAGAATTGCTATTATTTAAGAGGAAAAAAAATTCAAAAATAAGTGGTAGAGAAATTGGATCTCTTGTTCTTATCTGATGGGAATGTAAATGGTACAACTACTGTGTAAAATAGTTCAGTGGTTCCTCAAAATGTTAAGCATGTGACCATGTAACCCAGAAGCTCTGCTTTGAGCTGTGTATATCCAGAATAATTGAAATCAGGGATACAAACAGGTACTTGTATACCAATGTTCATAGTAGCATTATTCACACTAGCCTTTAAAAGGTGAACATATCTGGGTGTGGTGGTGTACCCCTGTAATTCCAGTAACTGGGGAGGCGGAGGCAGGAGGATCATGAGTTCAAAGCCAGCCTCAGCAATTTATCGATGTCCTAAGCAACTTTGTGAGACCCTGTCTCCCAAACGAGAGAAAACTAAGAAATAAAAAGGGTTGGGTATGTGCCTCAGTGGTTAAATGACCCTTATTATTTCAAACCCCAGTACCCAAAACGAAAAAACAAAATAGGTGGACACAACTCAGATGTCTACCAATAGAAGAATACATGAGCAAATGTGATATATATATATATTGGAGTATTATTCAGCCTTTAAAAGGAAGGAAATTCTGAAACTTGCTACAACATGGATGAACCTTTAAGACATTATGTTAAGTGAAATAAGCCAGATACAAAGAGGACAAATATTGTATGATTCTAGTTATGAGATACCCAGAGTAATGACCTTCATGGAAATAGAAAAGGGGTTGCCAAGGCCTGAAGGGGAGGGGTTATAGAATGGTACAGTTTTTGTTTCAGGTGAAAAAGTTCTGGAAATGGGTGTTGTTGATGGTTGCAGAACGGTGTGAGTGTACATAATTCCATTGAACCTAATGTATAAAAATGGTTAAAGTGGTGAACTTTTTGCTATGGATACTTTACCAATGTACGTGTGTGTGTGTGTGTGTGTGTGTGTGTGTGTGTGTGTGAGAGAGAGAGAGAGAGAGAATGCATATGTTTAAAATTTAAATAATTCACTTTCTAAATGGGGTAACTGAAGGAGTTCTAAGCAGACATTTGATGCCTCCTGTTTCTCTGTTTCTTTCCTTCTCCAGGAGTGACACACGCGGCCATCTGGGCAGCATGTATTTCTTACCTCAGTGCAGCTGTTCCCCCGGAGCTGAGGACGTCTGCACAGGGCATCCTGCAGGGCCTTCACCTGGGATTGGGGAGAGGATGTGGTGCCATGATTGGAGGAGTGTTAGTCAATTATTTTGGTAAAAAGGACTTTCTTTTTTCCTTTGGTGAAAACATAATTTTTCAACAATACTTCATGAACACTCACATTATTACTGAATATTGCCAGAAGCTAAATTCTAGTATTTGTATTCTGTTTCTAAATTTCAGGTTAATTTTAATTCTAAAGCATGTGGTTAGGTTGTTAAGATGATTAAAGGCAGCCTATAATTGTGCACACTCCTCTGACTAACAGTTTAATGAGATGCTACATAGATTCTTCAAAGGAGCCAAAAAAAAATGAATAAGCACATATGTTTTTGGTTTACAGTGTGGTACCCCAAACCTGATGATGATAAAGCTAAAGAAAAGAAAATTCATCATTTGAACCAGGAGAGACTAACTAACTGTATACTGACTTTGATCATGTTAGTACATCTGTATTAACACAGCCTGTCTGCCTCATCAGATCTCCTTTATTGGAAATATAGAGGCCAGGGTGGAAATGAGATTATTCTGCTCTAGGGACTGTGACTGCTCAGTCATGGTGAGTTGGGTTCAGAGACATGTGAGTTTATAACACTATATAAGCTCTGCCATCCCACTACAGATTTATAGGGCTGTTAGTAAAAAGGTAGGTAAATGATGTTTACAAAGAAGAGAATGCCATTGAATATTAGATGTTACAATGGAAGGCAGTGAAAAACAATCCCTTATAATCCTTTAAAAATGCAGTTTTATAATTGACAAACAACAGAACCAGTGCCAGCGCCAGGGGCACCTTTAGGGAAAGCTAGCGGAAGGGCACTGTCCTCTGATTAACTGAAAGTAGTGCTTTCTGTGCCTGAACTTTAGAACATTGACAGTTTGGGAGGAGGGCTATCTGCTTTTCCTGGAATTCTTCTACGGTCCTCTGATTGTTTTCACAGGGGCTGCTGCAACCTTCCGAGGCATTGGCATGGCCTGCCTGGTGATCCTCCTGCTCTTTGCCCTGATCCAGTGGCTGGCAGTGCCAGATGAGGAAGAAGGTAAACATTTCCATTCTTTCTTGATGTTGCTAATGGTCCAGACCATGAGGAATTCCACAGGTGCCCCTCAGAAACCTGGAAGTAGTCATGGTATACAATGGGCCTACCTGGGTGGATTTCCTCAGTGGTGTACCGATGCACTCGTGTGTGCCATGTTAGAGAGAAGCCTCCTTCTCTGCTAAAAAGAATTATATTAGGAAGCTTGAACATTCTTGTTTTGTTTTATGGTACTGGTTTAAAATTTCCCTGGTATTCTGGAGGGATTTCAATAGTCAAATACATATAAGACTATAGTAATTTTACTTCTAGGGGTAGGGAGTGGTATTACTATCTATGCCTTTATCTTCATTTGAAGAAAATGAAAGTCTAAACCTGAAATTTGAAGTTTTCCCTGAACTGGATATGGCCTTTAGTAAAATTGTTTTGTCAAGTATAATGTATAGATGAGAATTTAAATCAATCTTTTTGGCAGGGACAAGGATTTGGCAGTACTGGAGATTGTACTGGGAATTGAAACTAGGGGCACTCTACCACTGATCTGTCCTCAGCTCTTTTTATTTTGAGATAAGGTCTGCTAAATGGCCCAGGCTGACCTGGAATTTATGATCCTCCTTCCTCAGCCTCCTATGTCACTGGGATTACAGGCATGCACCACTTGTTAAAGCATTTTTTTTTTTTTTTTTGGCGGTGGAAGGACCAGGGATTGAACTCAGGGGCACTTGATCACTGAACCATATCCTCAGCCCTGTTTTGGATTTTATTTAGAAACAGGGTCTCACTGAGTTGCTTTTGCTGAGGCTGGCTTTGAACTTGTGATCCTTCTGTCTCAGCCTCCTGAGCCACTGGGATTACAGGTTTGTGCCACCACACCCAGCTTAAATCAACTTTTTAATGAAAAGGGTCAACCAGTAGAATACAAATAACTCTTGCTCAGCTCCTTGGTCCCTGTGCAGGGATAGTCTTCTTTGGCTGTCCTATCCTTCCATGAGCCCTGGCTTCAATATCCAAAGTACTTCTGTCAGGACAAAAACTTACTTATTACAGAAACCTCATAGGTTGATTTTAATCTCTTTGAGTTATTCAGAAAAAAGGAGCAATATTGGGTTTCTTACTTTTGTTCTTTATAATCTCATGTGGATCATACCTCTTACAAGTCTCAGTTTGAGCCTTCAGTAAAAGGCTTCCAGATAGCTTTTGCTGTTTTGATGCTACCTTTAAAATTGCAATCCTACAAGGGGACCTAAAGCACATTAACTGTAACCTATGCTCCATACAATGTTATATCTAAGTTAAATTGAAAACTAGATTTCTTAAATAAATATAAGTTAATATCTATTAAGTCCTATGAGGAGACCAAGCAAAGAAGTCGTGCACCACATAAAGAAATCCTTGGTAAACAAAAATTTATTAATGTTGCTAAACAAATTAGAATGGGTTTATAGAATTGTCAGTATACTTATTTAGTTGAGCCAGAGTCTCACTCTGTTGCCCAAGCTGGTCTCAACCCCCTGGGCTCAAGGCAGCCATTCAAGTAGCTGGGATTATAGTTGTGCACCACTGCACCTGGCTTATTTGCCTTTATTTAAATATGTAGAAAACTGAAAAATAATTTAAACATTATTTTCTCTCCAGACAAGACAATGTTGGCAGAAAGGATTCCTGTTCCCTCCAGTCCTGTTCCCATAGCAACCATCGACTTGGTACAGCAACAGACAGAAGATGTCATGCCACGCATTGAGCCCAGACTTCCACCCAAGAAAACCAAGCACCAGGAAGAACAAGAAGATGTGAACAAACCAGCCTGGGGGGTCAGCTCCTCCCCCTGGGTGACTTTGGTCTATGCACTCTACCAAATTAAAGAGATGATGCAACTGACAAGAGACAACCGTGCTTCTGAGATACAGCCTTTACAGGTATTGTTCCTCCAGTGGGCTAGCAATGTCACCTTCACTGGAGACACTTCAAGTGGGCTCACTCATTTTAATTATTCATTTTACATTCATTAAGATTTATCGAAAAATTGGTGGGAAACAAGAGACATGCAAACAATTTCAATACTCTGATAGCTGTTATGGCATATTTACATGGTCTCGTAGAAGGAAAATTCTGCCTTATGAAGTTTAGGAAGGCTTTACAAAGGGGATGATAATTCTTAATAAATTCCAATCTTATATACTCCTTTAAAATTTCAGTGTTGATGGATAGCAGTTACAGCAAGAGTATTGTTCTTTCATTCAGGGACTGTATTTACTAAGCTCTATATTTCCAACATTCTAGTGGTCATGCCATATCATAGGAATGCAATAAATATCTGTTGAATTAATTAACTAATAACTGAGCCACTATATGGGTCTGACAGGACCCCCAACTCAGGGGATGATGGTTCTGCAGTGGCCTCACCTGAAAAATAGAAAGTGCAATTATTCTTATCCCTAGATAATCTCTAGTGTTTCTCCTGAGAAAAGTCAAACCATGCTGATAAAGTTAATAGCTGTGTAACTAAAAGCTGTTTCCAGACTTTGGAAAATGAGTATGACTTCTACAAACAGTTTGACCAAAGGAATGAATTTTCTTCCCTTTTTTATATTCATCTCTCCCACTTACTTGATAAGTTGTGTCAGCTCCATATTTAGAGTAGCTTCAGAGGACCCAGAAAAAACAAAGAAATAAAGGAGAAAGACTTAAGGATAATTTGGGTATTTTCTTTTTATAAAATCTGTTGAATTACCTTCATTAAATGTATCTTGACTTTGTAAACCTAAAATCTTTATATAATTTATGCAAATCTGATTCTTGACTGATAACCATATGCATGCCAGTTTGTGCATGATCCTCCTTAAGATAATAAATCTTCTGCTAGGTCTGAACTCGACATTGGGGTGGGAGGAGCACAGGGAGGATTTTGTACCTTACAGCAGGGAGGGGAGTGGGAGAGCAGGTGAGTCTGCCGCCAAGGAAGTAGCATTTTCATGTCTGTGCTCACAGAAGCCCATGAGGGTTACGCAGCACTAATTTTTTTTTTTTTCTGGTGTCTGTTGAGATCAAGAACTAGCAGGTTTGGTGTAGTTCTTATGAAAAAGTCATTATGCTAAGGGTTTTTTTTTCCCATATATTTCAAAATTAACAAAAATGAAACTTTTTTTTAATTATTCAGCTATTAGAAGTAACCCTTTTTAAAAATCATGTTTCCTGGGCTGGGGTTCGATCCTCAGCACCACATAAAAATAAACAAACAAAATAAAGGCATTCTGTCCATCTATAACTACAAAAAAAAAATCATGTTTCCTGACCTGAAAACTAATATGGAATTTTACCAAAACATACTGGAGTGAGTACACATACTTATTGCTACCCACCACTGGTTACATAAGTACACATCCCTTTTTTATGTAGAAGTTCTTTCTCATTTAACTTTTAGTGATTATTTTTATTTTGAAATTGCAAATATACATTAAGATTTTTCATTACAGAAAAATCCCTCATTAACTTAATATTGACAAAACATCTTCTAGCTCTTGAACACCCTGGTCTTGGCAAGTGGCCTGCATTTCACTTATTCCTTGGTACTCATCCAGTGATTTACAGTGACTGGGGAGTCATTAAAATATTTGATGATATAAATTGTTTACCTAGTAGTGATGGGTATTTTGGTAAAAATGTTCCTTTATCCACAAGATATGTCTGCTTATAGTGTTTGTGTTTTTCATGCGGCTCTGGCAGTTGCACATAGGAAAAGAAATGAAAGGTAAGACATTCTATACTTATTCCTCTATTACTTGGTCCCTGGGCACTTCACGATGATCTCCCCACGTTTGCTGTGTCTTACTTGAAAACATATATAAAGGGTTGGTTTCACATTCTTTCTGTTTTTTCCTCCCAGGGGACCAGTGAGAATCAAGAAAATTCTCCAGCTGGTGGAGTCCAACCTGTCCCTAGTGAGACTCACCCTGACCCACCTAGAAACCAGCCATCCCCTGACGCAGCAGCATCTCAGACGCAGATTAGCTCTGTTCACCCCAGTGTGGACCCACGTGCGGAGGAGAGTGGGGAGCAGCACACTCGGCCTGCCACTGGAGGATGCTGAGGGACCGTGTCTTGCTCATCTCACACCCTGCATGGAATTGGGTTCCTTGGCCAGACCCCATCACAACTCCTGCGGAGGAGCCAGCACCGCATACGCTTCTAAATATCTAAACTCATTAACATGGAAAACACACACACATAAACACACACACACCTGAGCTACAGTACATATGGCAAGAGAAGGTGAACTTCCATAGTCCCATTGGAGTCACAGAAAGATAATAGCATTCAGTGAGGACTTCCGTTCTTGGTTGGTTAGGTGAATGACCACAGAACATTTTTGCCAATGCAGGAAGGCTGGAAACCAGCTGTTACACTAAGTAGAGGGAACACAAGTATTTCAAGGTGAATATTGGTATAATTTCCCTCTTCTGATTATTTATTCTAATTATTGTGTTCTTAATGCCCACTGTAAAGAAATAGAGAACATCTATAATTTTTTTCTCTAGAAGAGAACCATTTAAAAAAATTGTAAGATATATTAAAAGGTAATCACATGAAAGTAGTACTTATACTTTTTTGTTTAAAATTTTAAAAAGTTAAGTTTCATCATAAGTTTTGCATATCTCCAACAAAATATATTTTTATATACGTATGGTATATATTGAAAATAGTACTGAGCAGCAAAAGCTGTCATTGACTACTGCAAGCTAAATTGAGCTTTAAAATGCCTTTTGTTTTAAATGGGCTTTGAGAATGACTAGAAATGAGGGAATATTTCAAAGAAACTGACCAAGTCAGTATCCTATGGCTTAACAGGTAAGGGTTTACTAAATATATTATACTGGAAATAGCTTCCATCACTATTTACTATTTTAGAGGGATTTGGGCTCTAGTTAGCTTATATAATAAAAAAAAAATCACTGGATTCCTAAGGTTCCTTTAATTACACAGTACTATTTACAAAGAACAGTATAAGATTTAAGTGCCTGGGAGAGGGATACAATTTTTAAAACTTACCTAGTAGGTCAGTTTTGTTTGTGAGGTGGTAAATAAGAAATTGGGAATAGAAAGGGTGTAACAAGAGGTACTTTCTAAAGAATAAAGAAACAAATCTCAGTGTGCTCTTTCCCAAGAAGATATAGTCAGACACTGGACAATTAGATCTGGGTATGGGACTGTACATATTCAGCTATCTTCAGAACAATGGTTTGGTGAATCATGCATAACGCTTGCTGCTAAAAATGAAAGTGGAGGACTAGGGAGAGAGAGCCACTGCTTCAGCTGAATGAAAGGCAATTGGGAGAGAGGAAGGAACAATTAGAAGCCAGCTCCCACCTTAGCCTCTGGTCATACAGGATCACGGTAAATCCAGGGCCTCCCCATGACACAGCTCTGCCCAGTACTTTATCTGGGAGAAGAAATTGTACACTTGGATATCTAGCTTCACCACAAAACATAGCTTAAAAAGAAATAGAGTTAAGCAAATAGTTATTTTTGCACTTGAACTGAAACGTACTGTACTGTAAATTATCATGACTCATTTTAAGTGACCTTTAAAATCAGATGTATTTATTATGCTTGTGTAATTACAGAAATAAAGAAGTGGGTGACAGGCTGAACCTCGCCTATGAATGTACAGTATGTAGATTTGTGAAACTGACTGTAGGAAGTCAAAAACTTATATTGTATCTTGTGTTTACAGTTCTGATTTATTTCTTTGAAAAGCCTGCTGTTTTGGAAATGCACAGTGAACATGTTGAAGTAAAAATAAAACACATTTTTAAATATTTCTTAAATGATAAAGATGTGACCAAACAAGTAAAAGTCCTTTACTCTGTAATGAATGAGACCAAATGCAACACACCTTTGTCATGAAATGTTTACTGTGGGAGTTGATCCAATAATGCAGTAATTTCCAGCCTTTTGAGCTGACACCTTCATGAGTCTGTGGACTTTGTGACTTTTTCTTGTCTTCAAAGTGCCATACATTAAAGTGAATTCAAATTAAATCTTGATTTGAGAATTTTATAACCCCCCTTGAGATCCCTAGAAATACTCAGGGGTGTCACAAAACCCAGGCTGGTAATCACTGCCTTAATGACTTATTTTCTACTTTTTCCCCTATGATCATAGAAATAGCAGATTACCCCAGGGTGCTGAGTTCGTCTGGATGCAAAGAGGCTGGTTGCTAATTATTAAACTAGTCCTCAAAGCCTTAAACAGAATAATAACTTATAATACATCTCAATGGCAGTCACTTCCTGAAAAACTTAAGGACTCATAGGGAGGACAGTGCTCCTCTACTGGCCTGTGAATTTTGCCATGGCCCCAAGAAGCAGTTAGCTGAAAACTTCCGACGGTTTTCCTTTTAGTACTTCTAGTGCTGCTGGGGCCACTGTTTAAGCAATATTCCTCTCAGCCAATCTGAGGTTAAGCTGCCAATCTGGGAAAAGAGGAGCCACATCCATGGTGATTGGGTGCTTGTTATGTGCTAAAGAAATTATTATTTTGTCCTTACAAAATTCCTCTGTGGTACATATCACTGGCCTCATTTTAAATATGAGAATTCTGAAGCTAACAGAGCTTAAATTATAGGATTACAGTCACAAAACTAGGATTCAAAGTCAGATCCTCCTAATGTCAAAGTCCTGGTCCACCCAGCACCTTCCTCCATCCCAAGGGGTTGGGAGGCCATTCCCCACCTAATGTTATGGTAGAGCAAGCCTAAAGCAGCCCTGGCCTGAACCATTCCACATGTGCCTGAAACATACATGTGTGTGGTTTTATTTCTATTTAAGGATTTCTAGATATTTCCAGATAACCAGAAATCTAGCATCTTCAAACTCCTGGTGCTAATTATGAGAACACAAGGTCCTTTACACTCTAGATGGTTTGTCAATGACAGAGAAAACCCAGATGTTGGTAGGAACTCTCCAGACCAGAGCCGTGGGAGCCAGTAAGGGCAGATACATACACAGATCAACATCCTGAGACAGTGGTATTGTACAATGGCTCTGTCCAGTAGAACTTACTAGGAAGATGATAAATTCTCTATTTGTGCAGTCTAGTGTGGTGACTGTGAACTTCATGTGGCTATTAAGCAGGTGGAATGTGGCTATGCATTTGAGGAATTAGATTTATACCTTATTGGACAGTACAGGAAGAAATCACCTTTGGGAGATACATGGGCCTCAGTTTCCTCAACTTCTGCATGAGAGGCTGACCCTAAAGTTATGTTATTCTGTGAGGATGAGGCTTGTGACAGAGATGAGCATATGGATTAAAAAAAAAAAAAAGGTGATTTTCCATTTAGGAATTCTTCAGCCTTATGATGCACTAGAAAAAGACAAAGGCTATCTGAAGCCCTAAACCACTTCTGTGTTATTTCAGTGAAGCTTTAAGAATACCTGATTCAAGAATTCTGAATCATTAGGCACTTGGGAGAAAGACCAATGCTTGGATGGGGACAAAATCAGTGAGAGAAAAGGGGCATGTTTCCTTAAATTGGAAAGTAATGTACTTTATACAAGAACAAGCTGTGGCTTCTGATAAGTGTGTAACTGAAAGCGTACTGTTTGTCCTGGATGGGAAATGTGAAGCAGTAAACACCCACTCTGGACCCAACTCACTTGGCTCCTCTCTACTTTGGGCAGCTAATTAACACAGGACTACTTGCTCCCCAGGGCTCTAAGAAAGTCCCAGTTTTTACATGGCAATTCAGGGACCTTAAAATGCTACAGTTGGGAATATGGACTCTGGATCCAGAATGACTGGAATTAAGTCCCAGTTCTGCCAATGAGGACTTAACATATATAATACACACACACACACACACACACACACACACACACATATACATACAATACATAAGTTCTCTGGGCCCCAGGGCCCTCCTCTGTAAAACTGGGGTCATTTTAATTAGTCTGCTTTATAGATTGTTCCAATATTTAAAAGAGATCCCTGACACAATGTATGTTCCATGACAACACCATTATGACTGTGTGACGAACAGCCTGGGAAAGAGGAGTACTGTCTCCTTCTCTAGGGCCTTGCTTTTAGTATTTTGTTGACATTTAAATCTATAATCATTATGTTCCTTCAAACAATATATAGTACCATGCTAAATATATTTACCTGCATGTAGTAAGCTGTACAATAAAGCTTTCAGTTCTGATATACATCATAAACACTAAATGTCAAAGATATGACTTAGTTAAAAGATAAAATTAACTAAAACACAAGTTGAAGAGGATGGGAAAATGACAGGTAATGACACTGCATAATATGCAAGGTCTGCAGAAAGGAGTAGGTTATAATACATTTGCTCCATAATTTCCATTTTTTTCTTAAGAGGTATCAACAAAATAAACAAAAACTGTATAATCACTTAAAAAGTTATGTACCATGTTTTCTCCACTAGTCATCTGAGGATGCTACTCTTTTATAATGTAAACTTATATTTCAAAAAGGTAAGGAATTTTTTGTTAATGGAAAACATCAATGGGATCTCAGAAAAATAACATCTAGACCAGTGCTAGGGATGATGTTACATCTGAAGTATTGCTGGAATGTGACAAAACAGAATTGAAGCTTTAATGGTTTGGAGATGAAGTGTCCCCAAAAAGCTACTTTCTATATTAATGAGATGAAATTGTGAGAGCTGTGGCCTAATCAGTCCAGATTGGTGTTTACTGTAGGTAGGTGGGGCATGGCTGGAGGAGGTAGGTCACTGGGGTTATTCCCTGGAAGGGTGATTCTTACCGTGGCTCCATTTTTCTCCTTACTCTCTGCTTCCTAGTCACCATGAGGTGAGTTGCTTTTCTCCACTGCACCCTTTGGCCCTGATGTCCTGCTTCAACTTAGGCCTAGAACAATGGACTCTGCTGTCTATAGATTGATACTCCTGAAACCATGAGCCCCAAATAAACTTCCCTTCCTCTAAGCTGTTCTTGTTAGGAACTTTGGTCACAGTGATGCAAAGCTGACTAAAATAAAATCATTTCAAAATATGTATAGCAATTTGAGATTATCATGACAGCCTGGCACTTGGTTGTTGGCCTCATATTTTATGTCTTTTTAAAAAGATTATTTCATTTTTCTAATAACTTATTTTTGGTGGATCTTACATAAGTATTACTTACGATGAACTGGGCAGACACTTTGAGAAGCACCAAGTTGAATCATAGTCTACAGTATACATAGCTACAAAGGACAAAAATTGGCAAATTCAGAACATCAACAGATATAGTCATTGCTCAACTGCATTATCCTTAGGGACATTTCCTAAGAAACAAGAGGAGGGGAGATAGGACAGGAAAAGGAGGAAGGAAGGCAAGGAGAGAAAAACCTGTACATTGCTTTATGGGAATTAAAATTGTGATCATTACTATAAAACACCAAAGTAAAAGAAAAAAAATAAATACACCAAAAATATCATGAGTAATACTTTTAATTGTTTAGCTTCTCACAGTATTCACATAACAGAAATTGACAAATCCATAATTTCCTCTAAAAGTGAACATGAAGAACAATATCCTGAAGATTATTGGTTTTTTTTTTCTCTTTTGTTAGTAGTTTTTTATTGTGATGGTTACACAGGCTTGTTGGCCCACTTGGAGCTGCTTCTTTCCAGTGAAGCCTCTCTCCAACCTGGCTCAGGAAGGGCCCAGCAGCTGTCCAGCTGAGACGTGCCCTGGCAGCCCCAGCAGATGTTCGTGATTCATACACACATTTCTGTACTATAAAAACTGCCTCTTGGGAGGTGAACTAAGTGAGCACAAGAATTGATACATCTGATATATTTGTAATACATCATCAATAAAATATAATTATAAAAAATAAGATTAAACTAACAAAAAATATTTTTATCCCTTATTAATACTTATAAAATAGTTATCATAAAACAGAATGGATATGTTTTTTAGTTTTTAAAAAATCAAAGTCTATATAAAGGCACAAGTTGAATCTAGTTTTCTTTTTCTTTATTTCTTTTTTAAGAGACAGTTCTTAATATTTTAAGATGTCTGGCAAAAACAGACCTGTAAACACTGACATACTGCCTCACAGAGGAAATATCATTTGAAAATTGATCTAGAAAATTCCAAATAGATAGCTACATTCTTACTTGATAATTTAGAAAAGCTTTACTAAAGTTACAGTAACAAAATTCTCTGTCTCTTCCCTGTTATCCTTTTCCTGATAATCTCATCACAGTAAAAATGGCCAAAGTTTGATTTTAAGAGAATCAACTTAACAACATCTTAACCCATAAATTATTTTGCTGTGTTCAAATCTCAAACTTGTTTTGGCATCATTCTGCTAGGGTCAAGGGTTAGTTAGTTAGTTGCTCATTTCACTCATGAATCAAGAAACAAACATTTGCTCACTGTAAAAAATATTACAAATCTGTTTGTACAAAATTATTACAAATGTATACAGCTGAACAATTTTTAAAAATGAATCTCAAATTTCACAAAAGGTTTTCTTCAACTTCAACATACAAAAAATACAGAAAGTAATTCTAATTTCTAATCCACACATATCTAAATCTTATCAAAACTTTAAATGTTTATCTTTATCACAGTTATTAAATAGATACATTATTTAAAAATAAAAAAGATGTCAACATTGTGAGAACTAGACTGTAGGCCCCTAAGTTTGTGTCTGAAGAAGTCTTCTGAGTCAGGACATACTGGGGCTGGAGCTCTACCAGCACTGCCTCAAATAGCTTTGTGGTCTTGGATGAGTTATATAACCTCCTCAAACCTCAATTCTACCATCATTAGCATTTTACAAATATGTGTTCTAAGGAATATTAGTCTCATAAAAAAGGGTTCTGTGACCAAATTAAGGCAGAAACTGCTACACAATTTCTCCTTGTTTAGGAGATTCACAATGTGCATTAGTATTATTAAAGGCCCTGGAGAAGCCCTACAATATATTTGTCTAACTTTGTATCAATCTTAGTTAACCTCAGAATCCTTTCACTGACTAAAACACTTGTTGCTATCCTGTGGATCACACTTTAGAAAGCACAGGCCCAGTATATCTCAGGTCTCTTCCATCACTGGTATTGATAGAATGCAGGAAGAACAATAGTCTTTTGGCCCAGGTTGAGGGGAATAAGGATTTAGTGCCTTGGTTTTGACAAGTCACCTGTTCATACTTGCTGGTCCCTTGAAGAACAACATGATTCCCTTGTTCCTAATGAAAGACTTCAAGGTAAGTGGCAATGAACTGTCACAGAATCTTGCTGGCTACCTACCGTACAATAAGTAGCAGAACTTACTAGGAAAATAAGTTCCCTTTAATATAGATAGGTTAGTCTTCCTTTCCAGCATGGCTTTCCTCCACAACACATGCTTTTTCCACTGTTCCTTAAAACCCTTTTGCCCAACTTTAACTGCATCTTTGCCCTTTACTCACTTCCTTGCCAAAATGAAGTCAACTTGCAGGTAGACTGTCAGTCTGTAGGTTAAAGAGCTGCTCTTCCAAGAAAGCACCGCCAAGGCCATATTCTTCTTCATGCAGACGGATTTCTTCAGGTGACAGGTGGCTTGCTCCAAGAACAAACTCTGCAAATCTAGTAAGTGTTTTATGTTGTAAATAAAGTTAGTGGTATAACAAACAGAAAGGTTTATTTCTAAAATAACATGCACCCTTGCCTCTTATCCCTTTAATTAAATTGGACTCTGTGTCACTAGAGGATGGCATTTACACTCTTGGTATAAACAGGGAGATGGCTTATGCAATCCTCCTAGAGACAGCTATCCAGGGAAACAGTGGAGAAGTAGACAGACTTATGAGCACCCAGGGCAGTCAAATGCAACCAACCACTCCTGTTGCTAATTCCATCTGTTGTTCTTCTTCTTATTATTTTTGTAGTTCTGAGGATCGAACCTGGGGCCTTATGCATCCTGGGCAAGTGTTCTATGACTGAGCTATATATCCCCGACCTTTTTCCTATTTTTTTGTAAGTTTAAATTTATTATTCATTATTTTAATGTCAATACCTCTCATCAAATCAATATTTATTCAGACAATAGCAGCTCTATTGCAAAGTCATAGTACTGAGGAAAGAGAACTGCTACCAACTTCATCATCTGTGATCCAGGGAAGTAGTCTGTTTCTAAACTAAAGTGCCTCTCTCAAAAAGGCTTTTTTATTTTTTAAACCAGAGATTGAACCAAGGGCAAGGGCACTTAATCACTGAGTCAAATCTCTAGTCCTTTTTATATTTTATTTGGAGACAAGGTCTCACTAAGTTGGTGAATCTGGCTTTAAACTTGCCTTCTGCCTCAGTCTCCCAAGATGCTGACAACCTTATGATTTTAAAATAATTTGGACCAAGCTGTGGCCAAAGCAGCTGAGCAGAGCTTACTTTTTAGGAGCCTGGAGTCTGGAGATGGCTATCCAGGATGGGAAGTCAGGCCGGCGACAGGCTCTGCGCAGTTCCTCCAGGGCACTGGTTGTTTCAGCATCAGCTTGTTCCCTATATTCCTCTTCAGTAAGACACTTAACCACTGGCTGTCCTGGTGTAAACCACGGCTTCATTTTCCTAAAACATGTGGCATTTGGTTGCTAGATTCCTGCCCAAGTCAATTCTCAGGATTTAGAAAACTATATATCTTAGGAATAGTAATCCCTCTCTTAAAGCCCTGTAGACCATACCTATGCTCTTCACTGTCCTTAATGATTGAGGTATACAGAACATGTGGTTTGGGCCTGATGTTTGCTTTTTTGCTTCCTGAACTATCCAATAACGTCCTAAGACCCTTCAGAAGCAATTTCTGACACAGAATGTTAATTGTCCTTTTCTTCCTTGGTGAATTCTACTTACACAATCAGACAATTACAAGTCGGACTTATTTATGCTTGGCCTGCTGATTTTCTTGCACACTGACAGAAGCCAGCCTTTGAGATGTCCTTTTAAGGAGACCCAATGGTCTCCTTTAGTCTTTAGACCAAGAAGCTGCATTTGTGGGTTATCACTTCCACCTAGTGGTGGTAATTCTCACTAAACCTAGAGAAAGAGCATATATCGCACAAAGGTCTTTTATGTACAATAATTTATATTAGTTCTTTCACAACATGCCAAGAGGCTCATGACTGGAATTTTCTTTTTCCAACCAGGAAAGTCCCAAATCTCATAAAATGTAGTCATATAAACACTTACATATCTAATAATCTCATAAAAAGGACAATGATATTTATCAATTAGTTTTTAAAAATGTTTTGAGGTGCTTTTAAATTTAATTTAATCAGGGGTTTCCAAATCTAAATGAACATCAGAATTATCAGGAAGTTTTAAAAAACATATTTTAAGGGTTGAGATCTCAAAAATCTTTTACCATTTAAAAATCATCTGATAGTGAATGAGCTAGATTGAGGAACCACTGACATTATTTCCTTCTCCTTTTCTGAAGCCCTGGCCTGGTTTCCCAAAGGAAAAACCCTGGATTCAGCCAGAAGACTGGGGCAGATTCCTGGCTTTGAGGTTACTCACTGCATGAACCTGGGCAATTCCTTACCAATTCTGAGTCTACTTTGCTCATATAAAAATAATAAGAGCGGTAACATCTACCTCATGAAGTCACTACAGACTAAATGACTATTTGGGGTAGTAAAGAACTTAACATAGTAAGTGGCCTATAGTAGTATTCAATAAAGATAATCAAAAGAGTAGTATCATTTATCATTAAACTATATGGAAACAACTCTGGAAACTAAAAAGTACTATTAAAAAATCAGGGTATTATTTCTGGTTTATTTAACCTGAAATCCACTAATTTTTCATATAATAATTTACTAGGAGAATTTAAAGTTGAGAGTCTGTTGTACATTTTTATCATTATTGAACACACAGTAAGTGTATAAAAGAAGCATTGTGCAGGGACACACTTTGCTCTTGGCAGGTGGGTGGACAGTTACAGGGAAGGAAGAAGGAATTTCATCCTGGGTTCCTTAGGCCACAAGCCCGACAAAGGGCCAGGGATCTGGAAGCTATAGAGTGACAGAGGGACCTCTGGTCATCCCAGACACTATCTGCCTTGGGCAGATGGGCCGAGAGAGCCACTCAGTGTCAACCCCTCCACTGGCACTGCTGCCTTTTGGCCTCCACCACTCTATACAGGCAGCCTGTCCTGTCACTGGAGCATTTTAACCCTGTGACACTGCCACACATGCAGTCACCACATATATAAACTAAGTATCACCATAGAGTCCCCTTCCTTGTGGCCAATTTGGTAAACATCTATTAACTTCCTCTTCCAGTCCAGTCTCACTTCCTACTCCTTGTCCTCATCAGTGCATGCCTAGCCACTGTGATACCTGAGGACGGGTTTCCTACCACAGAGTCCTCCCCTTTTATCTACCCTCTGTCCCAGAAGATACATGGGCCACATCCCACTAACACATGAGGACATTCTGGTTATTTATATATATATAGTATTTATTTTTTAGTTATAGGTGGACACAATATCTTTATTTTATTTTCATGTGGTGCTGAGGATCGAACCCAGTGCCTCACACATGCTAGGCAGTGCTCTACCTCTGAGCCACAACCCCAGCCCTGTTGAATATATTTTTAATTAGATTAACTGCCAACATTTAAAAATCCTAAGAAGTCACATTTAAATCCCAAACAACACTTCTAGTATTTCTAGAAGTGTTCTATTATTTCTAGAATATCTTCAATGTAGAATCCATATTTTCACAAGGCAACAATCAGCTCAAGCTGAGTGGTAACTGTGTACCCTTTTTGATAAGGGTACACTGCAGAATTTCCCACCATCTTCAGGGTTACCCTACTGCCTCACCTCTGTCTGGCACAGTATCTCCCTAGCCTCAAGCATTTAACTTATAACTCCTGGTTAGGCAACAGAGATTAACTAAACCACATATCAGTAAACCCTTCCACAATGTACAGAACCAGACTAGATTCCTTGGCATGGCTTGCTGATGCCCCTTAATCTGGCCCTTGCCCACCTCACTAACTACCCTGATAGCTACTGCCTCATGATGACACCAAATGGGACTTTCTCTATGTCAGGAAAGCCCTGCACATTTATTCACTAAGCTATTTTGGCTCATTATTTAAGATTTAGTTTAGTGATATTTCCTGCAGGAAAGCATTCCTGAACTTTCTTTATATCCCATTAGTCCTTGGGCAAGCTCTATTTTGTCACTTAAAAGGCACAGAGACATACATCTATAAAGGGACCATCCCCATCTGTGCACCTGACATGAAAACAGATCTCAGACTCTATGACTGAAGACAGACATAACAAAAGCTTTGACAACAGAATTTGCCATGTCTTTCCTTCTATACTTTGAAAAGCCTTAAGCCTTAACTTAAAACCTAAGAAAGTCCTTAATGCAATCAACTGAATAACACCTTTCAATTATTTACAATTCATTTCTTTTTCCTAACTCTTATCTCACAAGCACAAATAATACATTAAAACAGTCTTTGGCTTTAATGAAAAGAAATGCAGAATAAAAGTAGAAATCTTTAGTAACCCAGAGCCCAAGTAATTTTGCCAATGATTTTAGTAAATTTCAAGTGAGCTCTAATTACTTTGTAAGTGGTGGTGCATCTCTGAAAGATTAATGAAGACAAGAAATGGATATGGGATGAGATTAGAGCTCTCTATCCTTCTCCTCTCTCAAAGTGTTATCTCCAGAGTAAATGTAGTTAATTATGAAATAAAATATCACATGTTATAAAAACAAATCCCCCCAAACAACAAAACCAGAACTCAATTTGTCAAATTTATGGGGGGGAAAAAAAAAGATTACACACCACTTCACATAACTGAATACTTTCATTGGGTAGTGCAGACTCCCAGAGGACATAAGAAGGATCATGACTACATAAGCAAATTGAGGCACGGCCACACCAGCATAGATTAGAACCAGGGAGAGAAGCCGTAGGGTCCACATGAGAAGATTTCTGCTCTTGTCATCAACAAGGGGTCCATGTTTGTAGCAGGCAGCAAAACTGAAAAATCCAACTACCAAAACATAGCCTGGAAAAGCAGAGGAAGGTATAATAATGTAAATCTGAATTTGAAATCTTATGTAAAAATATTGGCAAAGCCTTGACTTAAAAGTAAAATCTGTGAGATTTTAATTTTATTTTTTCCATTAAAGGTTGGGGCAGGGCAGGGGTGGAGTATACAGCTAGTTATTAGCCTTTTTTTTGCAGTGCTGAACCCATGGCCTCATACATGCTAGGCAAGCATGCTACCACTGAGTTAAATCCCCAGCCCTTAGGTTGACTTTTAAAATAATACAGGATGTATGGTCATTATAATAGTGATATATTAAGCATGTTTTATTTTAGCCCAATGTCATAGATGGGTAAATGTTATCATGGTTGCTTTGGTCAGAAATAAGTTACAGTAGAATTCAGACTGCTATAAACCCTATTTTTAATCTTCAAGTCACAAAAGGAAAATGTGATTTTTTGGTGAAGGGATCAGATGATCACTCGACTAATCTAGTGCTCAGTCCATCATTGCCTATGTGTAACTATATAATACTATGTTTCCAGTTATGATCCAATGTGAAGTGTATATTGCCTCTTATGTATCCCACCAAAAGCATTTAATTTGTATGTAACCAAACATTCACATCTAACTTCTAGTTTACAGGAAATATGGGAGAAGAAGTACAAGTTAAATTATGCCTCACAGGAGTCATTAGATAAATCCAGAAAGTGGACATTCTATTGGACAACTAGCTTGCTCTCTTCAGCACACCACTGTGATGAAAACAGGAATTGCTATGAATTAAGAGATTTATAAACATAACTGATACAAACTGTGGTTCTGGACTATATCCTGGCTTATACAAACCAGCCATCAAGGTGACTGGGCAATTTTAACATGGCCTGAGTAATAGATGACTTTTTGTAATTATTAATTTTTTTAAAAAACCCATAGTAGAACTAAGAGTAGAGTTCAGTTTTAGCCTGCATAAGGCCCTGGGTTCAATCCCCAGCAACTCACCCCAAAATGCCCTTTGTTTTTAGAGATGAATAGAAAAGAATTTAGAGGAGCCTACCATGTTATCTGTAATTTACTTTTTAAAATATCTTATTATGTTAACAAAGAAAATGAGCTAAAAACATAAATTTCAAGTAAAACAAAATATTAATTGCTTTTTTCTTAGGGGTGATAAACATGTGAGAAATTTGATGCTAAGGGTTCTCCTACTGTCCATTATTTCCTAATAAAAACAAACAAAACGGGGTTTTTTTTTGTACAATGAATAAAGAAAATAAATGTTGTTTTTAGCTTTTGTTTCCAAAAAGTCAATTTTTTATTCGTCATTTATATTAAGGATTTCTCACCTTTCACATTAATACATTAAGAAAAAGTGTACACAGTCAAAAGGGACACTTTGTGTGTGTGTGCATGTGTGTGTTTGAGTGTGTGTGCGCATATTTTTTTAAATTTGTACTTTTTAGTTACTTTTTTTACTCTTTCGATCATTAGCATAGAAAATTAAGAAAGATTATAGGAAAAACTATTTAATATGGGATCCAAATGAATTTTAATTACCAACTATGGGAATAAAATAAACAAAATATTATTTTTAATGGTACCTCCTTTAGTTCAAAACGAAAATTCTGATGCTGGAAAGAAACATAGGTTAAAAGAAGGCTTCTAGTAATTACAGATTCACCAGTAAGAGAAAGTGCTGTTTTTAATTCTTACATACCAAACATATATGTTCTGTTTTCATACCACAGCCACTTGAGATCTTCCATCAGTTGGCACACAACATAAACTGAAGCAAACCAACAACCAACCATTAGAGCCCCAAAGGTGCTATACTGTGTGTGGAAGAAAATAATAACACATTTTTTGGTTCATTCATTCTTGTAAAAATAGAAGAAAACAAACGCTTTGTATTACATCTATATCAAACTGAGATAAAACCAATCTCAAGATTCTCTCTAGAGTCTTGCTACTCAATATGGTTCACAAAACAGCGTAATTGGCATGACATGGGAATTTATGGGAAATTTAGGCTCTCAGACTGCTGAAACTGAATCTGCAATTTAACAAGGTCCCCAAGTGGTTTTGCACATAAAATTAGAGAAACACTATTAAAAAGAACAAATTTATCTCAAAATACAGCTGTTATTACAAACTTTAACCAGAGTAATAGCAACATTACCATCATGGATTATTATTTACTTATCCTCAACTAAGTTCAGGGCAGTATGCTTTTGAAGGTGTGCTGTAGAAATAATAATAAAGAATAAATCCCCAGATGCAGCAATGCTATTAACAAGGCCCCCAAGATTCAGCATCATGAGAGTCCTAAGTTTGGCCAAGATAAAATTTTCTCTCAATATAGAATCATAGAATCAGTCTCCTGTCACTCAGAAAGCCAACCAACCAACCACATACATACTACCTAGAAAAAAAAAAAAAAAGGTCTCAAAAGACATATTGCCATAACCTAATACTTAGGTAAATCTATATAAAATAATAAATAAAATGAACTCTCCAGAAATATTATATTTTAAAGTCAGGTAATATAGTGAAGAAACATTGTTTGAATTAGGAACTGTCAATAACATAAATAAATTGATTAGTATTTTACACCTATCAGATTACAGTTTCCATTTTTTTATTTATTGACACATATCATGCCTACCTTTGGAATGTATCTTTTCACCAACAGCAGTATAAAGACTAAAGTCATTACAACACCCAGCATAGTCCCCGAAGAGTAATAGAAAACAGGGCTTCTGTCAAGACAAGCAGATAAAAGTCAGTTTAAATGCCAAGAGCACTTTCAATATGAAAAAAAAACATGTTCAACATGACAACAGTAGCCATGAAGAATATCAAGAAAAAAAAACTCAGAGGGCAACTCTAATTAAATCCTGTTCTTACAGTCTTGTAATTTATAGTAAATAGCTTGAAATCAGTCTTCCAATTTATAGTATATAGCTTTCCATTAACTCAAAACAGGATGTCTGAGTTATCTTATGTATTTAGAATGTGATCTGACAACAGTAATTGAGCACCTGTCAGGTAGCAGGCACTTATCTTAGAGTTTACATGTATTTTTAGTTATCTATGTCTAAGTTTTATAGAGGAGGAAAGGCATCAGGAAGTTAGAAGACCTTCCCAAATATACACTAACTGGAGGATTCTGGATTGCAGCCCAGCTCCTTGGAGTCCAAGCTTTACTCTTCCTGCTCTATACGAGTTGTCTGGTTTATAAAGCTTGTAGATGACATTAAGTCTATTTAATTGAACCAAGGATAAGCTCAAAAATGAACAATGTTAAGAATGCTTGAAAATGTTGGATATTAACTAGCATGAGAAACTTAAAAAGTGCAATATTGGAAAGAGATTGATTTTTTCACAAATGAAATTGCAAGAAATGAAAATGTCAGAATAATATGCTTATTCAAGAGTCAGATATTTGTTATATTCAACTTTATATATCTGAGCCACAAATCTAGGAGGCAGCTCTAATGAAATAGAGTGAGGCACTTGGCATCAGAAAACCTGAGTATGAATCTGGGCCCTGATAAGAACCAGTTGTACGATGATGGATGTTGTTTTTCTCATTGATAAAATGAGAATATACAGAGTTTACATAGCTGTTATGAAAATCTAATAAAATGTTAACACATAAAATAATGCATATAAAAGCACTTTGTACTTTACACATACCATGCTATACAAATAACTGTTGCTGTCTTTAAAGATCTTTCAAACACTATGTTCAGACCTACTGTTTGCAAAACCTAAAGCAAGAACAAAAATGCACAATGGTGTAAAAATATTTACAATAGGGTCGAAAATGACCATTAAATAAAATAACCCATTTAAGTCACAAAGCCAAGAATGTAAAAATGAATACTCACTGACTCAAGGTCTTTGCATAAAAGAAAAGGAAAATGCCTGCCACAAATACAAGGAAAAGTTTGAAATCCACAACTGAAATAAAAAAAGACAAACACACAAAAAACATTTTGTGACAATATACTTTTGTTGTTAAAAGAAGAGACATGTCACTTAAACTGAATCCAGAAAGTCAAATGTAACTAACAAACTTACTCTTTCGATTCACTCTTATTGTATAAATAAATATTTCCCTGACAGGATTCACAGAGAAGCACTTGGTTTCCTCGTATGGACTGATGATTATAGTTATTTCATTAGATTCTTTTGGTGCCCAAAACTTATGAATAACACATTTGATAAAAGTCAGAATTGTTTCTGGATACTGGCAATTACGCATTTCTGTGATATATACAATACTGAGCAGGCCCGGACTGGTAATTTTCACCTATAAAACAAAAGCAAAGAAATTCATAAATACAGAAGTAAAAACTTCTCATAAACTTCCTAAAAACATTAGCAGAGGAGTAAGAAGAACCCAACACTTGTTTAAGGAAGAACACACAGATGCACATGGTCATGTACTGAGCCCAGGATCCAAATGATGGATCCTACACATCTGCATTTAATCCAAACACACGTTGGCATTTTTGAAAGTGGATATTTCTTCCTCTCTTCTAGCAAGTCTTTGTGATCAAGAGACACATAAGGGACCTTAAAGGCTCCTGGAACCCTATTTTATGTATACTGTTGTCCTCCACCCTACCTCAGCTAATCACTTTTATAGTCACACCCTGGTTCTGTCTGTACCAAACTGTAGCCCCTCCATGTGCTACATTTCATGCTTCTTTCAATGCCCTGACTATAATACAGACCAGAACATCTTTCTCCTGATCCTTACACCTTGGATGTACTCAAGTCCCTTCTTACCCAGCAAAATTCCATGCATAAGCCATTCCCTTCCATGTATCCTTAACTCCTTTGTATCCCTCTTGATTTATCATACTCACCTGGAAAATCCAACTCTGCATCTATTCCACTCTTGCATTTGTGCCACAAAATATGCTATGGAAAGGCACAGTGGTCTTGATTTGAATACATGACAGTGAACTTGAAGTAGGACCTAAAAGCTACAGTCATTCATACACACATCCCTCTGCCTTCACATCACCCTCCTCAATTTTCCAACACCTCTTCCACATGCTCATTCTCAGATGATGATCCTTCCTACTTCACTAAAAATGGAAGAAATCAGCAGTGAATGTCAATCAGCTCCTATTCCCCTATCTACCCATCTGTCAGCATCTGTGGGCACATGCTCTGTTTCTCACCAGTTGGGAGAAAATTTCTGTCAGAGGTAATTAATACACTCACTTAACGGCAAGCCCCTGACTTGTGCACTAGATCCTATCTATCCTTTCCCTACTCAAGTACACCTCACGAGCACTTCTTCCCTCTTTACTAGGTCATTTCTATGAACATGCCACATGCTGCTATTTTTTCCATTTAAAGTAGAAAAACAACTTCCTATGGACTCCACTTTTCCCTTTAGCAATCCATTATTTTGCCTCTCACTGCAATAAAATTCCTTTAAAAAGTTGCTTATGCCTGCAGTCTCCAGTTCTTCTCTTCCCATTCTCTCTTTAACCCACATCAACCGGCTTTCACCCTAACAGGTTGTCCTAATTACGTCACTAGTGCCCTCATATGTCTCAACTGCTTACCAATTGACTTGTAGCCCTCTTATTGGACCCACCATTGGCACTTGGTGCTGCTTATCATTCCCTCTCCCTATTTCACTTTCTTAGGGCTTTCAAGACACTTCTTCTTCACTTATTGTTCCTTCTTTCCCCTCTGCTAGCTCCCTTCTTCTTTCTGACCTCCTAATATAAGACTGGCCCAGGCTCATCTCTTGGTCCTTGCTACCGTCTGGATATGGCTTGAGTGTATTTACTAGAGTTCATGTTTTGGGGGCTGGGCCCCTAGTGTGGCAGTGCTGAGAAACAGTGGGACCTTTAAGGGATGGGGCCTAATAGGAGCTCAGTGAGAGAGAAGCTCTGTATGGGGTTAAGCTAGATGTCTTGTGGGACCCCTGAGTTCTCTCCAGAGCAAGTTTTTATAAGAACAAACCTAACCCCTGAATCACTCACATGAGTTCTGATATCTCCATGTTTTATATTTTATAGTTTTAAGTAGATCGGTAGATAGAAACAGATTTATGTGCAGGGATATAAGTGTGGATGCATACACATGATGGTGATATTCTAGTAGTAATGGACACACCTAGTGCTGAATGCACCCTGGAAAAAATTATGACTGCAGGGTTGGGTCTAGGAAACTACAACATGAGCCTGAAACATTTTTGTTTGCTAGAAAATATGTAGTACTTGGGCTGGGTTGTAGCTCAGTGGTGGAGTACTTGCCTGCTGTGTGTGAGGCACTGGGTTTGATCCTAAGCATCCCATAAAAGTAAATTAATAAAATAAAGGTATTGTGTCCATCTACAATTAAAAATATTTTTAAAAGAAAAAGAAATATGTAGTACTCAAAGAGATGATAGGCACAAGTTAAAAAAAACACTGAGATGGTTTGAAAGAGCACCATATTCACCAAATCTAGGACAATTTGAGTATCAAAAGAGGTAATGGATTATAGTCTATTGAATGAATTTGACACTTTATGAGAATACCTGGATATAAATAAATTAATAAATAGAAGGAGGAAAAACTCTTCCCTAGTAGAATGACAATGAATGTAAAAAGAATAATGGAATTAGAAAATCATCTGATAAATATGATGATGATAGGCAAGCATCCCTAGAGGCTAGAAAGTTGATGAGGAACAGAATATACACACAGTCTCAAATTATCTCTTCGAAAAACTCGTTCATTAATAAAAGAAAAACAGTAAATTTAAAGTGGAAGGTCTTGGCAGATACCACCTTAAACAAGTGATCAAAGTGTTGTATATATTTGTAGTATAAATCAATATCATGTGCCTCCTGATAAGAATTTTCTAGTTATCTCCTCAGTCTAGAACACTCTTTTCTCAGATACCCTCTTGGTAACTCACTTCACTGAAATCTTTCTTAATGATACCTTCTCAATAAAACTATTCTGATGACTCCCTTTAATATCATAGCTTCAACACTATATTCGCTTGGATGGTATATTCACTGAGAGTGGTCTAGAAAGGGGCTGGAGAAGTAGGCAGAGGAGTTAACATACTCTTTCCACACCACTGCTCCTTGAGCGGCTCTATGTGATCTTCGAATCAGCCTCATCCTAACACTCGGCTACATGCCATACAAAATGTACTTTTTATTCTTACATTTTAACACCCTGTCCTTAAGACATGATTTAAAAGTAGGCTCCTACCTGCACAGATGACCACAGAGATGTCCACTCCATTTGGGAATTCTGATTGTAGCAATAACATTTTGACTCAGAAGTTTGAATAAAATCCATCTCTTTCAAAGCTTTACATCTTGGAACTAAGAGAGGAAAAAAATGTAATTTCTTAAATATTTAATTGCCCAGAATCTTTTTTTTTAATTATTCGAAGAGAGATAGTAACAGTTTTAACATTCTGTGACTAATAAATTTTTCTATAAGGTAATTTTAGTCCTTTGGTCTTCATGACCTAGCAGGACACAGAAAATATCCTAGTCCAGTATAAAGGCTCTTATGACATGGAGGGCACTACACAGGCATAGAGAGTAACCATGTCTTCAGTCCTGAAGCAGAGGCCAGCAGTTAAGGGTGGCTTCCCAGAAAAAGTGAAATACAAATGGATGATTGGAAGCAACAAGACAGTCAGGGGTTGAGGGTGGCAAATATGTAGGAAATCATGGGAGTAGTTCAGTTGAGGGATATCTAACTGATATATTGGCATAGGAACAAGAATCCTGTGGAGGGATACATGGAAACATCTCAACATTTGCTGTTGGAGAGGCGAGCAGTGCTTACTTCACACAAAGAATGTGAATTGGGCTGGGGATGTGGCTCAAGTGGTAGCGCGCTCGCCTGGCATGCGTGCGGCCCAGGTTCGATCCTCAGCACCACGTACAAACAAAGATGTTGTGTCCGCCAATAACTAAAAAGAAATAAATATTTTTTAAAAAAAGAATGTGAATTCATCCTGAAAGCAGAGCACTGAAAGATTTTAGGAAATATCAGAGTCTCAGCAGGAAACTGCTGGCAATCAAAAGGAATTAAACAGTTCAGTAAGGATTAGGTAGTGTTAAGGCACCAATCATAAGGCATGTGAAGTTTCCAGGCACCAACAACAGCAGGAAGCACCTGATACAGCAAAGAAGAGCCCATGTTACTGGAGCTCTGAACTAAGTGAGGAGGAAGAAATAACAGATTCAACAGCTCTTAGGAAATGAAACCAACAGGCTTTGGAGGTTCATTGGGTGAAGAAGTAAGATAATATGAAGGTATCTTGTGACTGGAAAGATAGTGAAGCCCTTTCAACAGAAAACAAATACTAGAAAAGAAGCAAAGTTTGTGAGAGGATTGTGGGATGAGTTCAATTCTAGACACATATGTACCCAGTTTTCACTGGTGGAATTAAGTGAAAATGGGCAGATCCATAGCATAAGTGAAATTTGTCTGGAGATGGCTATAGATACAAAAATATGAGTATGCATGTACACAAATATATGTTGCATACCACATATAATAATTACACACTTATGATACTACATAACTATACGAGAGAGGGGAGGGGGAAATAAGTGCTATAATTATTGAAAGTTAATGTGGTAAATGCTAAAATAAATAAATAAATAAATAAATGGGGGTCATTCTTCTGTGACCACTGCTGTTTGGATGTGAAATTTAGTAAGTTCTTCTGAATCCAAGACAGAGTATCAAACAGGAAATATCTCCCAAATAGGAAACAGCTATAGGAAATACTCTTGGTTCCCCAGAGAAATGGGTCTGATATCCAATACCTAACTCCTCTGAGGAAAGTATGGTCTGCTATTTCTACAGAAAAACCTAAAATGAAGCTAGAACATCCTGCTATATCAAAGTTGGGGAAGGAGTGGTTAACCAGCAATAACTAGTCAACAATTATACCTATTTAGGGAGTAATCTTGAATAAGCTCTGATAGTTTTCTGTTCTGGTTTGAAATATCCTTGGCATTAAAATTTGGACCATCAAGTTGGGGAAGACAGACTTGGGGAAAGGACCCTGAGAAGGTCCTGCCTCCTGAAACAGTAGCATGAATGTCAGAGTTCTTAGGAAGATACATGAAATGGTAAAATTGTATGAGGACCCACAATATTCCCCTGTGACAGTTATGTTCTTTCATTTTATTCTTAAATTTATGATGAAATGCATGGATCTTAAAATTTATCAATGAATTTTGGAGTTTAAGAGCCTGAGATGTAAACTCAGGAATCCATGTTAAGAGCTGTTTTAAAGCAGCACAAGAAGGAAGCTCAAGAAGCTCTCTGTTAAATACAGGAAAATAAAATAAAAATACATTCTTGTATGGTCTATCTGTGCACAAGAGCCCAAAGGACAATACTAGAACACTCAGAGCAGCCTATGCTGAAACATTCTTGAGCATGTCTGAGATGTACTCATCTCCTGGCCAAGGGCAGTGGCAGGGGAAGAGCAGATTGGGGCAGGGAAGGGCTGACAGTTGGGTATAGGCAGGAAGACAGCGCAAAACTGCAAGAACTTAAGCCGTCAGGTGAGCAGCAGAGGAGGGAGAGGGAGGTTTCTGGACTGGCCTTCCCCATCCCACATTCTGCCTCTGCACAGCATCCTATGGGGTCTTTTAGCCAGAACCAGGGTTAAATGGGGAAGCTAGAGTTAAGAACTTTGTATTGGGAATCGTCAAAAGATAAGAGAGGATCTACTGATGTTGGAAAAAGTATGTTCAGCGAGGGAAATGAAGGAACTGAGGTCTCAGGAAACCCGGAACATAACAGAAATATTCACTTCTAGCCAGTTATTTCAACATCACATGTACTCAATGCTAGGGGCACTTTTCTTAGGGATGCCTCCAGGACCCTCCCTATAACTCCTCTCTTAGTGAAGCCTACTACTTCAAGGGCTGAATCAATTCCCATAGAAAAGTTCCCTTTTTTTAGAGGCCTGAAAAAATACTCATTGTGGGACCTAAGCTTTGTAAATAAGTGCTACCTTAAAATGGAGTTTTTTGCATTTGATCCTAAGACTATCTTCTAAATCATTTGATACCTGTAGCTCTTTAACCAAGAGCAACATAATGCTATTCAAATTTAATGCAATAGTTTGAATTTGGGAGTAAATATTTCTGTTATCCATGTCACATTTTATCTTGCATTTGGATTACAGTAGCAGCCTCCTGCTTCCAGAAGGAGCCCTACTATTTCCTCCACAAACTATTCTACAAACAGCATAAAGATCTTTTATCTCCTATTACATGATAATAAAATTTAACCTCCCTTCCAGGGACAAAAGTACCCCTATGACCTTCTCTCCTCCACCTCTCTCCCACTCAACTGCTCCAGCCACATCAACCCACTGATCCTCCTCTAGGTGCTAGTTCACCCTGCTTCAATTTTCATTTGCAACCAACCTTCTTTCTCCAGATATTGGCAGAGCTTGTACTTTCCAATAACTGATGTATTTGTTCCAATATCACATTCTTAGGAAGGACCTCTCTGATCCACTGTCTAATCTTGCACATCCAAGCACTTTTACCTGCAGTCTTCTGATTCTGCTTTGTTTTCATAATACAAATAGACTTATTGGCTCACACTGTCTTCCTGTGGACTTTGGGACAGCATGCATTTCATTACTATATCCCACAGCACTTAAGATATTTGTTGTGTGAGTGTGTGTGTGTGTGTAGCAATTTAAGAGGATAAGAGGATTATTTGAATGGGTATAGTCCAGCCCCAGAAAGTCCGACCAGTTTTGGTTAAGAGCTTGGCCAGTGCCAGTTAGCACTCCTGATGCAGCAGGACACCCTCTCCAGCCTTGTTGGAAGCCACAGGCTACACCTCCCTCTACCTACTTTATTATTGGTGTACCCTTAAGGAGAGGGTTGAGCCTATAACTCTTAATAGCCTCTGGTTAGGGAACATCTTCTTGCTCCTCATCAGATACTTGAGGGTAGAGGAAGCAAGAAGTGGCATTAATCTTGGCTTTGTTTTCTTCATATGCTGTCCATCAGTGTACTCTGTGTAAGGGACCTCCTGGTTAGAATAAAAGAACTTGCTCTGAATTTTCCTTCCACCTCCAGATTAAGAAATGTACATTACTTAAAAGTATGTTGCCTCCCCAGAAATTCTCAGGTAGCCTCTGGCCATAGAGATGAAGCTGATGTGGAATTCACACAATGCCCAAAAGAGTAGAGACAAAGTGTCAGTATTTCATGGTGTCCTTTGGCTGCCCTCCATTCTTATCACAGGTCTCCTGAGGTGAATGTACCTTAGTCAACCCACACAGAATGTCTAAACATCTAAGCGACCAGAAACTCAGCCACAAGAAGCTACAAACCTAGCCTGAAGTGAGTTCACCCATGTGAACCATAGGCATGGGCTAACCAGTCAAGACATGAAATGGGGGCTGTGACAAGTTTACTTTCATAGCTGGTCCACTGCCTTCCTAGAGAGACCAGATTCTTCCACCTTAGATTGATTATAAAGGTCATATCTTTCTTAGGCTTCTCTTCCCTTCTGTAAACATCTTCTAGAGAAATTTCATTGTTTGATGATATGAAATAGAAAAAACAGCCAGTTTGATTTATTTGAACTCTATTACCAATTAAGCCCTAACACTGAAGATTATGGTGCTGCTGCAGGTGCCTTCATTAGCACAGCCCTAACCTTTGCTGGTTTATTTTGCTAAAACAGAACCTCCTGAGAGCAAATATATATAGTCAGATCATAAAAACAATCCCTTTATAATGAGATCCAGGAAAAGAAAAAGAATTTCTAGGAATTTAAATATAAAATGTGATGATAATCATTTAATCAGAAGGGAACAATATGTGCCTCTGACAGCCACTGATTACACTTGAGATTGAAATACATTCTCACTCTGGAGGGTGCCCCATTACCGAGATATTCATTTCCTCAAACCTGATTCAGATCAGGAGAAAGATCTGGCAGCATGGGCCAACCCAGCTCTGCCACATCTTCCAAGCACTTGGGAAGGTCTGTTGAACCAACACTGAAGGTCATCCTTCCTATGGCAAGGCTGGTCTCTACACCCTGGAATGAGCACCATCTTCCTTAACTCCCTGCAGTTCTCAGCAGGTTCTCTAGGGATTAGTTATCTACATTAGCACAGCATTCAAGTCAGGATTACCAGAACCAATGAGATAGATCCCTCAGTTCATTTTAAATACCACTCAATTTATAAACATCCAACGAATATAATTTTAGGACATTAATGGTTCCCCTTCACCTGTGGTTTCACTTTCAAGTCTCAGTTACCTATGATCAACTGTAATCCAAAAATATTAAATAGAAAATTCCAGAAATAATTCATAGGTTTTAAGTAATTTTTGTTATAATATAGTTATAATTTTTCTATTTTTCTTAGAAGCTATTGTTATTAATCTCTGTGCCTAATTCATAAATTAAACTTTACTGTTAATATTATGTATGAGGGAATATTATGTATGAGCACATATGGGTTTTAGTACTCTTTGCAGTTCCAGGCATCCACTGGGAGACTTGGAACAGTATATTCTCCCTCTGGATAAGGGGGTACTATTATACATATCTGATATTAAAAAGGGACAGCTACATATACCCCATTTTTTAAAATATTTTTTTAGTTGTAGTTGGACACAATATCTTTCTTTTATTTATTTATTTTTATGTGGTGCTGAGGATTAAACCCAGTGCATCACATGTGCAAGGTGAGCATTCTATATTCTATCTCTGAGCCACAGCCACAGTCCCAATATCCCCCATTGTAACAAGTTAAATTTCAAATTACTCCTTAATACTTTTGTCCTTTATTAGTTTTTCTAAACAACTACATATATATTTAAGTTAAAGAGTTTGTCCATACATAATGGTAAAAATATTCATTTGAATCTTGAGAAAAAAACAAAGTGTACTTAAGCCTACTTACAGAATATTCTAAGAATAAAAAACACAAACACTTCTCAAATCTTAGTGGATCTTAAACCGCCTCCCATATAAAAAATATTTCACCAATGTTTCTCCTAACTTAACCTTCCATGGTTCTCATATGGGAAAAAAAAAAAACTATCCTCAAATGCAATTACAGCAGAATAATAATATATATAAATGTACTTGTCACATTATGCTGCCATTTTCTCCATTTTACCTGAAATTATTGAGGGGGGGGGGTGCTAGCAAAGAAGGAGAGGGAGAAGAGCAGAAAAAACAAAAAGTAAAAAGTTCAAATGTGAGCTAGGGTGTAGCTCAGTTGGTAGAATGCTTGCCTAGCAAACCCAGAGGCACTGGGTTTGATCCTCAATGTTTTTTTAAAAAAAGTGTGCATTTACTATAAAAAAAAAAAGTTCAAATGCAAACAGTTACAGATGGAGCTGGGGATTTTTTGCTTAGCTTTTTATTTTTAAATTTTTTTAATTTTTAATTTTAATTTTTTAAAATTCACATTTTCAAAGGTGTTAGTTGAAAAGGTAACTTCTCTATTCTATTAACCCAGTTTGTTTTTCAAACATGAAACTGAAAATAAGAGTTGATGATAACGTACATTCAGGTTTGGTTTTAACTGCCAGGTACAGATTTTCCTTTGCATGGATGAATGTGGAAGCTGTGACTATGAAGAGACTTACTGGTATAATCTAGGCCTGGGGAGCCATTTCTATGACCTGAACTTCATTTCAGGAAACACATGGTTTCTTGTGACCTCACCCACTGGTTATAAATTACGGATGACTGTTAGCTTGAAGTTTTTTTTCTTCTCAGCCAGACAACTACCTACCTATGCTTCCTGTGCCAACTGCCTCTTTCTTCCAAATGGGGTGACAGAAAGCTGGTTTTAGTCCGAATGTTCTCCATTTCATAGATGGGTGTGTGTGTACAGACAGAATTTTACAATAGGAAGGAATCTTAAGTATCATCGAATACAAGCTTCTTGTGTTATAGATAGGCCCTACTTTACAGAAGAAAGTACAGTAGTCCTCCCTTATCTGCAGTTTCACTTATTGAGGCGTCAGTTACCTGTAGTCAACTGTGATCTGAAATTATGAAATGGTATAAATGGAAAATTCCAGAAGTAAACAATTCATAAGTTCAGATAACTTTTATTACAGTATATTGCTATAATAATCTATTTTATTAGTTACTATTGTTATTCTCTTTCTGTGCCTAATTGTATAACTTAAACCTTATCATAGGTATGTATATATAGAAAAAAAAACACAGTACATAGGGTTCAGTACTGTTTCAGGTTTTAGTTATCCACTAGGGTTTTGGACCATATCCCCCATGAACAAGGGTGTTTACTATACCAACTATTTCGTCTTGATGTTCCTCATAAAACCAAAGTCTTTTAGAAAAGCAAGGTTGTTTTTTTTTTAAGTTGTAGATGGACATAATACCTTTATTTATTTATTTTTTTATGTGGTGCTGAGGATCAACCCAGTGCGCCTCCTACATGTGAGGCAAGTGCTCAATCACTGAGCTACAGCCCCTGGAGCAGCAGTGATTCTTAGACTTAGTCTAATGCAGCACAGGACAGTGGATGCTTCTTTATTCACATTGAAAGCCTATTTGCAAAGACAAGCCTCACTAGATAGCAACAGAAGTAGCCAATTTTCTTAGTTGCAGATTAAAATTTAACCAACTCAGTGGGCATCCTGAAAGTTGAAGGTAGAATAGAAGCCTTGGTAACCCTTTATGTATGTCTTTGATTAGTAAAATTAAGAACCCTTACCACCAAGTATGACAACACAAGAACTTCAAAAACATTGGTTTCATTGAGGCAAATAAAAGTGAAGAAAATACTGAAACTCTCCAGCAATAAAACAACTTCATTTTACTGTTGAGAAAACTGTATAAAGACTATGTGCCTGGATCAAGACAACACACCACAATTGTTGCATGAAATGTAATAACTCAATTAGAGCTCAAGGTTCTGGGTGTTGGTCTAGAGCTACTTCTAATTTTCTAGCTGCTGCCATAACAAGAAACTCTCCTCCTTAGACAGAAGTTTTATTTTTTTTCATTTCCTAATCTGTAAAATGGGTATATAAATGGCAACTACCCAAGGGGACTTCTATGGGTATTAAATATGGTAGACAATGCAGTTTAAGCACTTTTAACACTATCTAGCACAAAGAGAACTGGTATATATAGTTCCCCAAGGTGTAACTCACTGAAAGATACCTACCTACCGTTAGACAGCTGTGAAAGATGCTAATAAATACATAAATAACCCTGATCTTGAGTGGTTGGAGTTCAGCTAAGAGAACATACTTGGCAGCCTCCCTTGCAATCAGGAATGGCCCCAACGCAATGAGGGGAAGTTGGTGGACAGTACATCCAGGAAATCTTTTCAAGGATGTTAAATGAAACAAACATTGAGCTCAGGGCAAATTACTAGTTATAGAGACAGAATTCGAGTTTCTAACTTCTGTGCCAGGATCCTCAGAGCACTGTAACAACACTGCGTGCTGCTGTCAGTTCTTTCTCCCATTCGCCAGGCATACATTAAACACTACCATGGGCTGTCATCGTCCGTGACCCAGGGTCACAACAGTCAGGGCAGGGGGATTTCGGCCCCATTCTAAAGCTGAAGCTCTTTGCTTCTCTAGTCTTTTGAGTGTTAAAGAAATGGCTATAACTATAACAAGATTTTAGACATAAATTGAAGTACTGTACAAAAAGCCCCGTATTGAAAATAAGGAGTCTAGGGCCAGCAGTGCCAGTGAGTAGCTGTGTGACCCTGGACAAAACATCTCTGAGTTTCGTTGCTTCTGTAAAATGAAGACCTGAGCCAGGCTTTGAACCGCGCGGCTGCTTCTATTCCTCAAATCACAAAATGTCCAAATGGCAGCAGAGAGGGCAGGGGAACCCAATACGGCGGGAAGGCAGCCCCGCCCTAGTGTAGGCCGCGCCCCGGAGTGACCCGGAGGCCGAGGGAGGAGCGTCCACCCGGCCAGGCGAGAGCGCGCCCTTGAGCCGGAAGCGTGCGCCCGCCTCGTGTGCCCGCGGTTACCTGACAACGCCGC